CGTGTGTGTATGTGTACGTGTGTGTATGTGTACGTGTGTGTATGTGTACGTGTGTGTGTACGTGTACGTGTGTGTGTATGTGTGTGTATGTGTACGTGTGTGTGCGTGCGTGTGTGTACATGTGTATGTGTATGTGTACGTGTGTGTGTGTGTGTGTGTACGTGTGTGTACGTGTGTGTGTACGTGCGCACTGATGTTGTCACTCTGAGTCTCCAGGGAGAGGAATAAGGGCCTGAGTGCCTGGCCAGTGACATCTGTGCTCCCACAGCCAGGGTGCTGACTCCGGTCCTGTGATCCCTTCTCCTGGACACAGGCCAGGGCAGGAACCTCAGCACCTAGGCTAGGCTGGCTCTGGGGTCACATTGCCATATGCCACTCCCCTGAGGCCCTAAACAGAGGCTCAGCCAGGCTTCTGGGCAGCCATGGGTGGCTGTGTCTGTTTCCCAGGTCACAGGGCAAGGGCTTGATGACATCACCCCCAGTGCTCAGACCCAGGTGGGAAGCCCAGCTCATTGACCTTGTTTGGAGAGGGAAGGGTTAAGGTTGCTGTCCTGGGTCTCCTTTCCCCAGCGCTGGCAGGCAGGAAGCAGCCTGCTGTGAGTGGGAAATTAGGCCTCCAGGACAGGCACATCCAGGGCCAGCTGCTCCCTCCAGGCCCTCACACCTGCCCCAGTCTGTTACTCCTGCTTAGACAGACAGGGCTCAGTTTTCAGTCCTTGAAACTTTCTAGAGGAAGCTGGAGAGGTGGTTAAGAGCACTTGCTGCTCTTTCCTGGGACTGGAGTCTGGGTCTCCGCATCCGCATCAGGTGCCCCTGCCTATAGCTCAAGCTCCAGACACCCTTTCCTGGACTATGCTGGCAACCTCACACATGTTCATAGGCACAGACAGACACGCGTGCTCGTGTGCGCAAGCACACATACACAAATATTTAAAAATTAAACTTGCTAAAGAAAGGAAGGGCCCAGGAATCTCTTCATCATTCCTTGCTTTCCTAGAAGGGTTTTCTGCACTCACTGCTGGGGTAACAGAGGTCCATAATGGGCCTAGGCAGCAAGGGCCTCAGGATCCCATGACACAACTCCTGCTTCATCTTGTCCTCTCACTCCGGTGCCTACACAAGGATCTAACCATCCTCCAGGCTGCTCAGTCCCTCGCCTCTGGAGTTCTGATCTTCCTCCCTGGGGCAGACCCAGCCACAGCACACCCGTGTTCCCTGGAGCCATGCTATGGGGGCCTCAACCCAGGGATGATGCCAAGCCCCTTGCTCAGCTATGCCCTGCGGTCAGGAGGGAGCTCAGCCGCTAAGGAGGGCACAGGTGAGCTACAGCAGAGCTGGGGGAGGGACCAGGCGGTGCCTGCGCTGTGCTGTTACAACCACAACTTGTGAGTCTGTTCAAAGTCATTTGCCCCAGAGGCAGGCGCATTTCTGTGAGTTCGAGGCCAGCCTGGTTTACGGAGCAAATTCCAGGACAGACAAACAGACAGACTGGTCTACACAGAGGGGAAAAAAAAGCATTTGCTCGAGGAGTCTCCCAGCATGGCTTGTAAGGGAAGCAGAGGGGAGCGAGGCACCCGAAAGTGCATTGAGAATACAGAGTATATCCCGGAATGAGCCAGGCACGTGGCATTATGGCATCAAGAGGCTGGGGGTGGTGGTGGGGGGCAGCGAGGACCTGTGAGACTGATTCCTTGTGTTACCCCTGCACCCCGCAGCCTGATGTCTCCTCCATGGGTCTTATACACATTGGCTGGTGTAAGAGAATTGTGCTCTACGGCTGTGAGTCCATGGGCTACAGGCCCGGGGTGTGATGTGTCTCTGTCGGCTGCGTGGCTGCCCCACTGGCTAGACCTTCCTCAGTTTGTCACATGTACAGGGCTCATGCTACCCTGCACCATGTTGCTTCAGGCTCCAAGCCAGCGGTCGGCTGGGTTCTTGCCCAAAATGTCTTGGTACTCTAGTGGGCTATGACCAGAGGCGATTCGCAAGGCTGTTCTCGTGAGGCAGTCTTGCCTGTGACATCATTTGAAGCTCCAGGTTCAGGACAGGTGGGAACCTTGGGAGCTAGCATCTCCTTACCACCAGTGGATGCTGCCTCCTTCAAGCCCAGTGTTAGGGGCACAGTGGCCACCTACCGTCAGCTCAGGAGGCTGTGCAGGCTGCCAAACAACTATCTTTTCAAGTATATAAAAAAATTAATTGACTCCATCTGTGTTGGCCTAATGACTGATTAAATGACTAATCATGGAAGTCTTAATTAAAACCGTTTTTCTCAGAACTGAGGAGGGAGGAGAGGCTCTGACAGTCCCCAGCATGTGTCAGGCGTTGGGTGAGCAGGCGAGAGACACCAACGTGCAATTAGGCCCAAGGTCATCTGTTGGAACTTTCCACCTAGTTCATGGAGTGATGGGGTGTGTCTCGGCACCTTCACTGATGGAGTTTCAGGCACTTGCATGCTGTTAGGGTTTCTGGGGGAGATGTAACCAGAGCCAGAGCCATGTTCCTAGTGTATGGGATGTTCATGTGTGGCTGGATAAATTCACAGACACACTTATTAAAACAAGTCCTTTTTTTTTTTTTTTTTTTTTTTTGCAGCTGACATGATTTCACATCGTGTGGGACTGACAGGGCCCTTTGTCAGTTAGTGAAATTCCATAACATGCTTGGAATGTCTCTGCAGGAATGCAGCAAGGGGCCCTGGACAGAAACATGTTCAGCCCCAGGAACGCTGGCAGGAGGAGCCTGCCGGACTGTTCCCACTACTGCCCACCTCTCCCTACCTATCCATGATTGTGTCCTTCCTCGGAAGAGTGTTGGTCTGGCTTTGGGAAGCCATGTATTAAGACAGAGATCAGACTCTGAGAACATGAAAAACCTACTTACAGACTAAGAAGGACCCCTTTCCTAGAGCCCAGGAACCCTGCCCGGGACCCACCTCTCCCTATCATTCATCCCTTCCAGGCCTAGGCCCCAACCTCCTCTGTGCCTCTAGCAGCCTCACTGGAGTCTGGAGGTCAAGGACTGGATTCTGAACTCGTCTACCCATGTATGGCCCTGGGATGTGAGCGCTCTCTCCTCCCTTACTGCCATGTGCACGAGTGACCAGGCCTGGTGAGTATCCCACAGGCCCCGTGTGTGCTGGAGGGCAGAGGAGTGAGGCGGGCACCAGGCTGTGCCCACAGGACCTTGCTCATGCCGAGCCCGGGGTTGCTGAGAGATCTTACACCTCCCTTCCCTGCCAAAGCCTGCTTTGAGGCGGCACAGAGGGACATTTTTGTAGCCAGAGGAGATGTTTCCGCACGATGTCTGCAAACAGGCCTTCCAAGTGCTGTGCTCGTATGTAAATTAGACCGCATGCTCCCCTGCACTGCTCTGAACTGCAGGGTGGCATGTCACTCTCAGTCTTTGCCGGGGTGGAGGAGCGAGCATCCATCGTTACTCAGTCCTTTTGTCTGAAGCCTCCGGATGACAGTACTGACTGCTGGCTCTGACTCAGGCCAACCTAATCAATGAGATTGTCTCAGGTTTCAAGAGTCACCAGCTGGTGGCCAGAGTCCGACTCTCCCCAGAACCTAGAAGCCCAGAGTATTTTCTGCAGGCCCTAGGGATAAGGGTACAGGGTCCAGTGTGTGCTGGATAGTTTTACATCAACTTGCAACAAGCTAGAGTTATCTGGAAGGTGGGAACCAAAATTGAGAAAACACCTCCATAAGACCCAGTTGTAGGGCATTTTCTTTTTTCTTTTGTCTTTTCGAGACACGATTTCTCTGTGTAACCCTGTCTGTCCTGGAACTCACTCTGTAGACCAGGCTGGCCTAGAACTCACAGAACCTGCCTCTGCCTCTCAAGTGCTGGGAGTAGAAGTGTGCACCACCACCGCCCAGTGGACACTTTTTAAATGAGTGATTGATGGGGGAGAGCCCAACCCATTGTGGGTTCTATAAGAAAGCAGGCTGAGCAAGCCATAGGGAGCAAGCCAGGAAACAGCACCCTTCCATGGCCTCTGCATCCACTTCTGTCTCCAAATTCCTGCGGTTTCACTTTCTGTCCCGAGTTCCTTCAGTGATGATGTGGAAGTGTAAGCCAAGTAAACCCTTCCCTCTTCAGCCTGCTTTTTGGTCATGGTGTCTCATCACAGGCACAGGAGCCCTGACTAAGACACTGGAATTTGAGGGACAGAGGTGTCCTCAGGGATACGATTCCAGCACGTCCTGGGCTCACTGCTGACATCATTCCTAAATACCATCGGCAGGAAGGCTGCCTGCTCTTGGTGGGCGCAGCTACCTGAACTTCTCAGCTTCTCCTCCCACAACCTTTGACCTTGAGCTACCTATGGCTAAACACCCAGAGGCTATGGTCCACCATCTCACTGTAATTGCTGTCCAGCACCGACCAATACACAAGCCACCACTGGCCCTGACAGCTGATTTGGCTACATGGTAGGCCTGGGCCACAGTGAGGTCAAAAAGGTTGGGTAGCCTCACTTGAGCCGAATTAAGTGAAATCCAGGTTTCTATGCTGGGGGTGGAAGGGTTTCCAGAGGGCTGCACGTGGCTTCCAGTTCAGCCAGCATCGTCCAGCAAGTGTGAGGGACTTCTCTCCCTTCGGCCCTGGCAGGTTGAGGTGGCACGCAGTGGTGGCAATGTCTGAGAGTTGTAGTCATCTTCTGTGCTCACCTTTGGCATCTTGGCTGCAGAGCTCAGTCTTTGCCAGGAGAGAAGGAAGACTAAGAACTATGACCCAGATGTGGCAGCCAGCCCAGCTGGGTTAGGCAGAGACAGGGGATGTGGCCCTGTAGGCCTACTTCTCTATAGACTAGCTATAGAAAGCAGGAGTTCCTTGGGGGCAGAGAGACCTGAGGAGCCCTCTGAGTGCTGGGCTGGGGGAGCACTCCAGATCTGGTCTTTATTGGCAAGGTTTGAGTCTCGATGACTCAGATCACAAGAGTCCCACCTCCTTCTGTGCTCCAACAAAGGTTCCATAGCCAGGTCCTAACCCAGAGTGGCCGCTCACTCTTCCCCTCCTACGGATCAGGGCGTGTGGGCCTGAGCCTCTGCCCAGGTGAGAGACTCGGGTCAGAAGTATACCCGCACCATGCTACTGGACTCTTATATTCCTGGTTTGCAGAGCCCAGGCAAGGCTGCTGGAAAGGATAACTGTCCTAAAGTCCTGGAAGGTAGGCTCTTTCGGTCAAGGGACTTAAGGATCTGGTACCCAAACCACAGGAGGATAGCAGAACCCTTTGATTGCCGGAGACACTGGAGACACAGTGGGGACAGACCCTACCCACGGCTTCCACATTCTTTCCTAGGGAAGGGTTGAACTCTCAGAGAGATTGGGGGTCTTCAGGGGACAGAACTGAGAAGCCCTGAACAATGTCTTGAGCTAAGCATCGAAGACAGCATTTGCATGGTGAGGATGGCCAGGTCAGAAGACAGGTCAGAAGACCTCATGGCCCTGAGAACCGGGTGCTGACGGGACTGACGGGGCTGGGGAGCTTCACTGCCTGTAACAGTTCTCCTAACCACACTGACTCTCTGGGATGTAGCTCAGTTGTGCTTGCCCTATTACACATAAAGCACTGGACTCCGTCTGCAGCATGGCATGAACTAGGTGTGGCAGCATAGGCTGTAACCCTAACCCTCAGCAGTGGGAGGCAGGAGGATCTGAGTTCAGGGTCACCCTCAGCAATGTAACAAGTTCAAGGCAGGTCTGGGCTACATTAGATCCTATCTCAAAAATAAAAAAATGGATTGTAAATCTCTCTTTGGTGTTTCCATATTCTGGAATCAGGAGACAGAGTTCCCAGGAGAATGAGCTTAGTCTCTGTGGTAGAAGGTGGACTCTGAGGACCGCCTGTAGCCCAGAACACTGGGCTAGAAGAAACGCAGCAAGCATCAAAGCATGCTACAAGCAGATACTGGAGGCATGGGTCAGTTTGAGTTTGCATAGGTTCAGGTGCCTCTTGGGGTCCAAGAATCCTGCTCTGTGGTCATTTACTTGCAGATGCTTCCGAGTTCCTTAGTGGGCAGTGGGTGACAGAATGAGCTAGCTACCTTCCCTCTTTCCTGGAGGAGGAAGGGAGACAGGTATCTGTGCCACCTTGGCCAGACAGAGCATCCTGGGCCTTGAGGTAATAGGTATGAGTGGCCCTGGGATTCAACTGTCAGCTCTCATCTCCTCTCTGGGAGGAAGCATGGGGCCAATGGGAGCTCCATGCTAGCCAGATCTTGGTTATATTTTTAAGTCGGCTTTGGCTGTTGTACGAACGTACTTCATGGTCGATTCACAGGTCCTGACTCAGAGCAGCACGGGACACATCTCCCACTGTAAGAGGCTCTGTCCCAGTGCAGCCTTTTGAGGGGCGTCAAAGCCCTGCCAGTTTGCCAGCACGTCACCAGCCTCCAGCGTTCCTGGCTTGTCCTACCCCCCCCCAGCCCCCTACACCCCCCAACATCACCCATGAGCGATCACACTGCAGGAGTACCAGCAGGCAGCCTCATCTCTGGTAGGCCATGGTCTCTCCTTCCACCCCCATCTCATCTCTTCTCTGGTAGCCTCGCGGTTGGGTCAGCCTGCTCTGGGCATTTCATGGGAGCCCACCCTGAAGCAGTGCCCTCAGCGACTCCTGGACTCCCACCTTCTTCGTGGGGCCGAGGCTGCCGAGGCTACAATGCTGAGACCTGGCTGGTAGTGTGTAGGCACTCTTCACCTGTCCCTCTCTTCTGGCTATCTCAGGGGCAAGACTCTCCTGTCCACAGGCTTCCCTGGCCCTTACCTGCCCTGCTTGCCTGTCTTTCAAGAACTGCCAGAACTTTCTGATCCAGTTAGGCCCAGCGAAGGCCCACACCCCACATGTTCCCCTAGTCAAGCACCTGGCATGTGGGTGCTGGTTTCTTTGCAAGGCATCTATCATGTCTCTTTGGCTCACAGTTGCTAGAAGGGAGGGGATGGAACTGGCTACCACATCCTCCTGAGTCAGTAGACATGCTGTCTCTTTACCTCCCACCGTACCACCTTCTGATTTGTCAGACAGAAATCCAGACTTGATTTAGGAGAATCATGGCTGAATGGGTAAGTCCCCATGCCTCAGTTTTCTCTCCTGAGAAATGGGACTAGTCACAGCACCTGACTGGGTGTGCCTACAGCACATTGGCATGGAGTGTTGAGAAACATGTCCATCCTGTGAGTGCCCCACCCCCACCAGTGATCCCTACCCAACATGGAGCTTCTCCTGCTGTATCCATTGTTGACGGCTGTCTGCCTCTCAGGAGCCCACAGTGCCCCTGCCACGGCTACCAGGCTTCCTGGGGCTCTACCTGGTGTGGGAGGGTGCAGTGTGGGGGGGTGCAGGGTTTGCAGTAAGAGCAGCAGCAGGCAGATTGCTCACCTTAGGGGCCTTGCTGTATAAGCAGTGGTCATCAGCCACAGAGACATGGATGCTGTGCTCAGCGGCTCGTTCTCTGGTGATAGGCTCTGAACAAGTGTGCCACCTTCCCAGATGCCCTACGACTCTTTCTGCCCTCACAGACCCCTCGCCGTGGTACCCTGAGCGGACAGAGGCCGGGGCTTTGCCGCAGCAGACCCCATCGGGTGCACTTTTTACCTGGTGCCTTCTGGAGGTTCTTGGACAGTGAATGCCACCTCTGGGGGATTCTGGCCACCCTTGGGACTGTTGCCGGTCTTCTAGGTGTCAGGCAGAAGGAGAAAAGAGGTTCAGAGGGGGGCACGGTGGTGGTGAGGAAGAGCCCAGCTATGGCCTCAGGGCTCACCTCAAGCATGCCGGGTAGGAACAGAACAGGCTGCATCCCAGGTGGAGGAGGTCCGAGGAAGATGTCGGCAAACTCAGCGTGGCCTTGCTGCACTCGCCGACAGGCCGCAGGACAGCAGGAGTCATATCTCCTTGCTGAGCAGGTTTGCCCAGAAAAACAAAGCAAAGAGAGGCTCCGTGAATTCTGAGCAAAGGGAGAGTGTCCCTGTCACCAGGAGCCTGGCTGGGGATGGACCTTTGTCCTGGGTATTCTGAGCCAGTCTGAGAGAGAGGAGTACGAACAGGGACATATGGAGAGAGGGTGTGGCTATAGCAGCGGACCTGCAGGGCGGACAGGAGTCTGGATCAGGGCAGAGTAGATAGGACGGTGTATGCAAGGGAGGGAGGAAAGGAGCATCGACCTGGCGGCAGTGTGGACACAGCGGTGTGGGAAGGCCACAGTGGACAGTGTGGTCAGAGCGCTATAGACAGGAGAGGATGGACAGGACATTGTCCACAGGGAGTGTGGATGGAGGAGTATGGCCAGGCAATGTGAACAGATCCACCTGGACATAGCAGTGTAGACAAGGCAACAGACCAAGCAGCGCGGAGAGGGCGGTGTGGATGCAGCGCTGTGGGCGGGGCTGTGTGTTCAGTATAGTGGTATGTAGCATGGACTCGGGCTTGTCTGGGGTTTACACAGAGTCGGCAGACGTTGCCTGATGAACAGGAGGGCTGGCTCCTTCAGCCAGACCAGCAGAGGCACTTGGTTTTCCAGACCACAGAGACCACACTTTGGCCTTTTTTCAGCACAGTACAATCTGGGAAACTTTCCCCATTAGGCCCCAACCACGACAGGTCGGGATACAGGAACTTTTGGCAACCATCAGCCCCTGCCCGGGCAACAGTACCAAGAGGCTCAGAGGATGGGCCCCAAAAGAGCCCACAATGGCTCCTTCTCCATCCTCTTTTAGGATCCCAAGGTATGGGACGGGGCATTTTCCTCTGCCTCTACTCCACCCATAGGCAGAGCTGCAATCCCAGAACCTTCTGTCTCTTTTACAGTTAAATGGTTTAGCCCAAATGGTGAGTTCTGGCGCTAGGGTGGTTCAGGGTTCCTAGTTCTTATCAAGTACAAGTGCACACCACAGTCTACTTTCCTGTAGGACCAAGTTTCAGGGTCCTTCCAACAGCCTTTGACCTGAGGGGCGCTCACAGGGGAGAATGGGGGGCTCTAAAGGAGGAGGCTCTGACTAGAGCTGCAGAGGGGCTGGGGTGTTCACAGGAGAGCAACACGGCAGAGGCTGGAGGACAAGGGTGGAGCAGAGGGTCGAGGTCAGATTTTGGGGCTGGCTCCCTTGGGACTGGGGTGAGTGCAGGCATTGTCTTTCCTCTGTGTGCTAGACAGGGCCCTGGGGCCAGAGGCTTTAACGTCCCTTCCCCAGAGTCCAGGTCTGCAGCAGCTGGGCCTCTGAACTATCTCCAAATTACAGGTGGGAGAATTATTTCTCTCGGAGGTGTATTAATTTTGTCTTATGGTGCATTAATAAAAACCTTTTTCTTATGCAAGGACATTCCTTAGCTAATGTCCTTCCCCGAAGCTCTGCCCTGCACCACCGACGTCCTGGGCAATGACTGGGAACAGCAATGCTGACAACACGGTTTTCAGCTCTCTGCACACTAACGGCCATGTGGTCCATGGGCACCGACTCCGCCACCTCCTTTAAGGACAGTGTTTGGAATTAAGGTGCCAGCTCTGTCTTCATATCTCAGAGACGTGTGCCAGTCAGGGTGACTGCTGGATGGCCCCTACCTGGGGACACTGACAGCTCGTACTTCAGGCTCTGACTTCCCATGTACCAATTCCAGGAAGTGGAGTAGGTAAAAGACCCAGCAGGGATTCTGATGGCCAAATAAATATATCTAGACCAAGGCTATGGGTGTCTACCTCCCTCGGGCTGGGAGGTTCTGGCCACGCTGTTAAAGGCCTTCTCCAGACATCACCACAGCTGGCTTCTATGGAGCATGCTCGATGCCATTCCTCTGTGGTCCTATCTGGTGACCCCATGTAGTAAAGACTGTCACTGTTACATGTGGTTGCTGGAAAATGGACCTTCAGACAAGGTAAGTGGGAGGCACAATGACACTGTATGACGTTACACCACTTACGTGAAGCATGCTGCTTCATGGGGAAAGTAACACGGAACAGTGGGAACCTGGCAGTCTGGTTCCTCGGCCCACACAGAACTGACACTTGAGGCCATCTGGATATGGACCTTTGTCCACCCCAAGAGTGACCACAAGCCTTGTCATTTCAAGTAAGAGAAATCCTCACCTCTCACCTTTGCCTCTTCGATCCCTGTGGCCTAGCAGACAGCAGACCCAGCAGGCTTTCCTCTCCGCAGGCATGGTGTCCAGACAGGCCACGCAAGGTCACCAGCTGCCTCTCCTATGCTAACCCTGTGTGTATCTGGTCAGAGTGCTTAGGCGAGGGGAGACTCATGAGGACAGGCTAGAGGCACCCACAGCGTGTGGCTTCCCTAGAGGAAAGGGGCCACTTGGAAGGCTCGGCAGCTGGAGGAGGCCATGCTGGCTGCTCTTACTAGAAACATGAGGTGAAACTGACTCACGGTGCTATGTCCAGGGACATATATGTCCTGGTGGATGAGGATCAGGTTCCACGAGAAAAAGTTAGTACCCTCTAGACCCCAGCTTCGGGGCAACTGTCACATCTTTGACCCCATCATCACTGGTGACCGCCCATGCCAGCACCACGCCAGGTCCTGCTCCTGGTGCCCTGGTGGAGGCTGGCTTCTGTTCTGCTCATACGCCCTCACTTCTCACGGGGGTAGGTAGGTGTCATGTTCATCCAGAGGAGCCCCGGCTCCTGGCTCCTGGGTGAACAATGCACAGCTTCCTGCTCTACCCATATGCTGTCCCCAGGATGTCCACACACTGCAGCCACAGGCATTGGGTCCCCAAATACAATTCCCCGTCTCCTCCATACAGACAGAAACGCCTTCTCCAACTAGTTACCTGTACTCTCATTTTTCTACTCCGTCCTTGAGTCCAGGCCACTACTGTTTACAGTGGGACAACCATGATGATCCCAGACGTCACCAATCTGCCCTTAACTTATTCCTCACTGGTTCAGAGCATGGATGGGGCCCCGTGATGGTTGCCCTAAACTTCCAAGGGCTTTGCCTGCCTTGTGGGGCACGAGTGAAACCTCCAGGCAGAGGGCATGGACCGGATCACACTCTGTGTCTCATGCTCTCCCCTCTGCCAGGGTGCCACAGGGCGAGCCTCTCTGCCCCACACTCTCCGCACTCTGGCCGAGCCGGTCCCCTCTGCACCCTGCTGCTGTTCATCCATCAGGCACCTCGCCGAGTCTCCCTCACCAGCTGCCTCCCATGCCCCAGGGGCTGTTTGTTCCCTTTCCGCTGTCCTGTGAGCATTGCCGTGGTAGCACCTGGAGATGTCAGGACTAATTCTGCCCCTGCTGCTATGAATCTCCATGGCTGTGCGCCTGACCTCCTGCTCCACTCACCCTGGGGCGCTATTCTCACTGTGCCCACCCTGTCTGCAGACTTGGTCCTATTAGGCCAAACCTAATAGGCAAAAGACTGCGAGAGCTTCCTAAAGACTTAAGATCTCGCTGCCTAGAAGAGATAAGCCACAGTGTTGCTATCAGATAGGGCAGCAATGCTGTCAGGAGAAGTGTCTGTCTTCCAGCCACTGCCAGCCAGGGGGTCACTTCCAGTGCTTGAAGAGACACAAGGAAGAGGTATTCCAACACTACACAGGACCCCACACCATTTCCAGAGGGGGAACCACCCTTGCCTGCAATGGGAGGAGGTGTTCACCAGTTCTAGGGCAGGAACTTTGCAGCCGGCAGTTTCTGTGGTAGATACCCAGTGCTCTGTGATGATTCCTGGTGCATTGTTTGGAGGCTCTCTGCCCTAGTAGCTACATTTGCTACTTCCCCCCAACCAAGAGGCCCAGGAACGGGATTCTTAATCTCTGGGCACCAACCCTAAGGCCTCTGTCGGTGCTGGTGGCAATTATGGCTTTATCAGCAAGATAAAGGTTTGCTGGGCCACGTCAGGGAAGGAGGCTCTGGAGAGCAGAGGCTCTGCTAGGGATCAGGACGGGCAGCCTGACCTCCCTGTGAAGGAAATATCAATTAATTATCTTTTTACAGGCAAACCAATTAGACTCCCTAATCGCCTGTGTAGGACACCGAGGCAGAAGGCAGAGAAACTGCGGGATAAACGACACCGAGAGGGCTTGCTTCCTCGTGAGACGGCCACCCTGGGCCCGGGACTCGCCGCAGGGAGCACAGGCTGTGGGCTCAAATATTTTCTTTGTTTAAGTGAATTAAAAAAAAAAATCAAATGTTACTAGCCCTGAGGGGACAGACACAGGGCATTAGTCTTCAGTGTGCACTCCATTAGCTAAGGAACGGTGCAGTGCCTGGATAAGTTAGCAGTACAGTTCCCATCAAAAGGACACCCGAGGTCGGTCTCCATGCTGCCCAGGGCCAGGCAGGCAGCCTGGCCACTGAGAACTTCTCAGGTGTCCAGGTGCGGCTTTCTGTGCTGTCAGCGTGCCTGCCCTGCTCACCCAGGGGTGCTCTTGTTCTTTTGGCCCTGCTGTGGCTAGGACTAACCGGGAAGGTCTGCCATCGGCTGGCAGAGGTTCCACCCCATGGCTAAGGGGCAGCAGTGCCTGATCTGTCTCCAGTCCCTGCACAGGCCTCCCCAGCATGTAGCCCTCCAGCTCTGACTCCGCCGTTACAACCCAGCAGAAATGAGTCGATTGTGTGCCGCTCCCTGAGGCTCCCAGGACCAGAGCCTTGCTAAGCGCTTCAGACACAGCTTCACACCCACCGACCGCCCATTGCCCCCTTTACAAGTAGGGGAAGAGACACAACCATATGGGGCTCTGCAGGTGCCCAGGCCTAGGGGCTGTCCTTGCTTGGTTTGAAATGACTCCCGTCAGTCTCTTGGCCTCCAGCTGGTGGCACACTATTTTGGGAGTTTTGAAGAAACTTTGAAAGTAATCAGGTCACTGGGCTTAGATTTGAAGGTTATACCAGGTCTTCAATCTTCAGTAGAAGACAGAGGCTGGTGAGATGGTGCAGTGGGTAAAAC